ACACAGCAGGCAGAGATGGGGGGTGAGGAGGAGCCACCGGCCGCTTGTCCCAGGGTGGGCCAGAGGGCCACCCCTCACTTTCTGCCCTTCCACGTGCCTGCTCCGCGCCGAGCTCCAGGCCCAGGGGCAAACGTGCTGCCTCACCTTGCCCCGCACAGGGGCGCCCACCGGTGATACCGTCTCACCTAATAAATTCCTGTCAGAGAAGCTGTCAGGGCCTGGGAAATAAATAATGATATTTAACATTTTGTAATAACAACAATTAACCAGTAAATAATGTCCTTTAAACTGCAAACGCTGGAGTAAATTAATTCTTCTAATGAGCTGTCAGGCACGGAAGAAAAAAAAAGGACCCGTTTCCTTTGGTGCCACGCGGCTGCCGTGCGAGCAGCGGGGGAAGTGCACCTCGGCCCCGGGGGCTCATTACCGGGAGGCACGCGGCGCGGGGTTCCCGGGGATCGGCGGGCCCCGCCTGCTCCCAAGTGGCGCGCGGCCGCCGCTGTCCGCTCCGCACCTGGCGCCCCCGGCCCGGCCGCGCGCCGCACCGCGCACCGCCAGGTGCCGATTGCGCATGAGCCGCGCGGCCAGCATTTCAATTAGAGACGCCCGGCTCCCTGGCCTCCCCCCAACACACACACCGGGGCCCGCGCTCAGCCTCGGGGAGGCTCGGGGCACGAGGCTGGGGACAGGCGACGGGGAGAAGCCCGGCGCGCATCCCTAGTCCTTGCTGCGTGACCTTGGAGAGCTTTCCTGCCCTCTCTGGACGGGGACGTCGTAAATGGAAATGTGAAGCTAATCAAACCAGATGTGATTACTTCTGAGCTCCTCAGAAGCCTGTGACCATAAAAAGACACACCTATGAGTAAGGCAGCTCTTTATGTACTGATTCGGAGTAATTTCCAAGATATATTGTCAGGTGACAAAAGCAAGGCACAGAACAGTGTGCAGGGTCTGCTACATCTTGTGTATTAAAAATAGGACGAAAGAAAGAGAATATGTGTCCCTATTTGCTTGTATATGTCTAGACAGGAAACAGAATATGTGCTCGCCTCTGGGGAGGAGAACTGGGAGACTGGGGTGGGAAGGAGGCTTTTCACCGAATAGGCTTCCAACCCCTTATGTTTGGAACCATGCGCAGTTATTACCTATTCAAAAAATAAAAGACAAAGCCACGCACAGCAGAGGTCATTCTTTTTTTTTTTAACCATTTTATTTATTTATTTGAGAGACAGAGAATGAGAGATAGAGAGCATGAGAGGGAAGAGGGTCAGAGGGAGAAGCAGACTCCCTGCCGAGCAGGGAGCCCGATGTGGGACTCGATCCCGGCACTCTGGGATCATGACCTGAGCTGAAGGCAGTCGCCCAACCAACTGAGCCACCCAGGCGCCCGGCAGAGGTCATTCTTGACTCTCGGCAGCTTTCGGAAGTGGGAGCCCCAGGGGCACAGATGAACTGGGACCCTACCTGAAAACCCTAGGGAGAGAGCACCCTGCCCGCCGCCCTAGAACACGAGCTCATGAGTCAGGAAGTCCTTGCCAGCATCTAATCACATTCCCTTCTGCTACAATTGGAGTTTCTCCCCAGGTTCTGTATTTGGTGGGCGGAAGGGCTGATGGTTTTATGCAGAAAGTGGGGGGGGGGGTATAGCCACTGTCTGGAGAAGAGAGAATGTAGACAGTCATGGCCTTCTGGAGCCACATAGGCCTGGGTGTGAATCTACTTCAGTCACTCGCTAGCTGTGTGGTCCTGTGTGTCACTCCCCATTGCTAGCCTTCAGAATCCAGATGTCCCTGCCTCCCTCAGGGAGGACATCAGGTGCTGAGCTCGATGAACAGGCATCCACCTCCCACAAGGACCAGCCCAGGCCCTTTGCTCCCCGGGACAGACTGAAGACCCCTTTCACAATCCAGGGCCATCTGGTCCTCAGATCTATGCCTTCCCACAAGGCCCAACGCCAACCCGCAAAGGAGATGGATATGTGGCCTCGCTGGGGCCAGGGGCAGCTGTGCCCACTTAGCACCTAAATTACCATGCTCTAAATCCAGAACAGGCTCAAGGTAGCCGGTGGCTGAAAGTGTTGGAGCTGGAAAATCAGCCAGGCCCAGGGCTCGAATGAAGCACCGGGAAGGCCTGGGGTGGGGGTGGGAGTGGGGCTGGTGCTAGAGGGCTGGGAGCTCAGCTGAGGGCTGAGCAAGAGGGCTCCCAGTCTCCTATTGCCAGCTGACCAGCTCCATGTTCATCTCTTTGTACCCTCGTCCTCCTCATAAGGGGTCTCCCGATTCGAGAGTTTCTTAGCTAGAATAGATTTGAAAAGCCCTGACCTTGGCCATTTAGAACACCCTGCTGCCTGTCCCAGGCCCCGCTCGTCACCACCTAGATATAGTAACAGGACTGGGGGAGGGAAAGGGAAGTGGGAGCCACAGGGGAAATGTGGGGAGATGGCCAGCGTGGCCCCCTGACCCTCCTGTCTCCTCAACACCTAGCACATCAGGGTGAACGTTCAGGGGAAAATTGCTGATTGTGGGACTGCCTGAGAGAGTCTCCCTTCCCTGGCAGCCTGGAGGAGAAGAAATGGCTTCATTTAACCTGACAGGATCCAGGGAGGGGGGAGAATGAGGGCATGTCTGGTGTCAACTCTAAGACAGTGTCGGTGGCTAAGGCTGAGGGAAGGGAGTCTAACAGATCTGGGTTCAAATCCAGGCTCCCTCACCTATCAGCTGTGTGACTCAGGACAAGTTGCCTAACTTCTCTGAGCTTTGGTTTCCTCCTCTACAAAATGTGGAGAATGGTTCCCTATCTCTTTGGGCTGCTGTGAGGGTTAAGATGAGGTCTAAAATACTTAGCATAGTGCCTGGGCATGAAGTAAGCCCCCAGTAAAAGGCTGTTTCTGTTCTGGTGAGCTTTTTGCTGGCCTGCTAGACAAATTCCACCTCCAAGACCAAGAAGGGCAGTTGTCCTGCCGCCTGAGGTAGGCAGACCACCTCTGCGGCCCCCTGATTTGGGAGGCAGCCCAGAAAGGCCTCCAGGCTTGGTTTTTGCAGAGGGCAGCAGAAGAAAATCAGAGCTGAAGCCGGCAAAACAAGGATCCCAACAGCGGGTCTGAGTCAGCTCCTCCTGGGTCTGGGGGTTCAAGAGCCTTCCTCAAGGTCACACGACCTCCCAGTCATCCTGCCCTCCACGTGACCGCCCCCTTGGCCTGAGTCCTCTGAGGGCCTGCCCGGGCACCTGTGAGCCTGTAGCACCGGCTGGGAAAGCACGGGGTGTTCTAGTGCATGGAGGAAGCTGGGTCTCAGCCACACGGAAATTAAAACCAGCTTGCCCAGTGCTGAGTTACCATGTCGCCTGAAATCAGATTGATTTCTTGGGCTTGTTGTGACGGCAGAGTTACAATTGATTCGTCTGGATGGCGGGGAGTTTATCTATTTGGAGCTGTCTGTCATTGATCTGAATAAGCTTCTAAAATAGCCCAAATACCTGGTGAGGGCGAGGTTGCCACCAAGCCCGGCTCAATATTAATTATAATAATGAACAGGCATGAGGAGGGCTGGTTCATTGCCTGCCCTACAGGGCTGGCCTCTGTGAGGTTTCGTGTTTAATATTCATTGCAGGCCAACCCATGCAAAGAGGGGGCGGACGCTTCTCAACTGGGGGAAGTTTGCACAGGACAGAGAAGGGACTGGTGCTGTTGCAACAAGAAAGGTTTAGGTTCGGGGCGCCTGGGTGGCTCAGTCGTTGAGTGTCTGCCTTCGGCTCAGGTCATGGTCCCAGGGTCCTGGGATCGAGCCCCGCATCCAGTTACCTGCTCTGTGGGAAGCCTGCTTCTCCCTCTCCCACTCCCCCTGCTTGTGTTCCCTCTCTCGCTATGTCTCTGTCAAATAAATAAAATCTTAAAAAAAAAAAAAAGAAAGGTTTAGGTTAGACCTCAAGGAGGACTTCCTAATGACTAAAAGTGTATGGAGAGAGCATACCATTCACTCGTTAGCCAGGACAAACTATTTCTTCCTGCGTCTGTTTCCTCTGTAAGGTGGGGATTATGATACTTCTCATAACTGCCTCCACCTCTGCTTCTGGCTGAAAATAAGACAAAGCAAAACACTGGAAGCCTCTTCTGGTTCAGGGAGAAGCAGAAGGGTCCTACTCTAGGTAAAAAAGCATCTGCCTTTCTCAGCTTTGGCACAGAGTAAGCATTCAATCAATGGAGTTGTTATTATCATAATTATTGATTCGACGAATATTTATTGAGCACCCCTAGGAAACACTGGTGAACGAGCCATGATCCCCTGCGTTGGAGGAGATGAAGCCTGGGTTACTATGGGAGCCAGGACATCCCCCTTGCTGTAGGCTCTCAGGAACAAGGGAGGGCCCTAGGGGTGGGAGACAGCTTGGAAGTTGTGCCTGGAGGCCAGTGGAGGACCATGAGGACCTCACTGGGTGGCTGCAGGTCCCAGGTTGTGTCACCCAGCAGTAGACAACTCCACTAAAGATCGGTCAACAACAGCCCCTCCAGAATAACGTTCTTCCAGGAAGAAGAGGATCCTTCCCTCTAAGGATCTGGCAGAAATGTGATCAAGCTTGGGCTTCAGGTCTGCAAGAAGCAAAGAATAACAAGCTGGCCCTGACAACACCAGCTGACATGCAGCAAGGAGCATGGAGGCTGAACCAACATCAGGACTTCCTGGCTGAGCTTTGGAGGGCGTGAAGGAGACCCTGGATGGAGAGACTCCCAGGCCTGCCTGGGAGCCTGGTCTGCTGCCTCCCTTGCAACATTCCTTGCTCTGTCCCTGCAAAGCTCTCCTCTCTCTTACAGCTTGTGGCTGGCAGGGACCCCCACGGCCAGCCTTAAGAGAAACATCAGAAGAAAGTTAATAGTGAAACACTCTGGCGGATCTAATTGATTTTTTTTCCTATTGGTTCCCTAATATAGGCAACACTGTTCCTGCCGCTTTTCTGGGCTGGAGATTATGTCATAAATAAAGAGATTTGCTCCCTATTTCCATGTGCTTATCTTTAATAAGTTAAGAACTCAACAAGCTTTAGGAGGACTTGAAATAAGCAAGGGAGTCGGCGGTGGCTTCGGCTGGGCTGTGGCAGCGGCCTTCACAGCTTCATTTCAGCAGAGGGGAGTGCAGATGGCTGAGGCCGGTGGGGGGAGAATTTGCATTCTGCACTGGGGCTGCACTGGATCCAGGCTCAGCTGGAAGAAGACAGGAGCGGGAGGGAGAGGCGGGGGAGGGAATTCAGGGTGGCGAGTGTGGCAAAATGGATGGACAGGGCCCCTGAGGCTGAGGACACCATGGGGGTGGCAACCGTAGGTTCTAGACCTAGGGAGCCTGAGTTCAAATCCCAGCCCCATCATTGCTTACCGGCTGTGTGACCTTGGGCTGTGTTCCTTGGCTCTCTCTCTCTTTCCTCATTTTGAAGACGGGTAATATCATCTATCTCATAGGTTGCTGTGGGACTCGACAACAAGCAAAGAGCTTAGAACAGAGCCTGGCACGGGGGTGTGTGCATGCAACATGTTCGCCAGCACGTGACCATGAAGACACCACCTAACTCCATGGACCTTAACTGGCTACTGAGCCTCTGCCACGTGCCAGGCGCTGGCCTGGGCATCATCGATGAGTGAGACACTCCTGGGCCCTGACTTCAAGGAGCACCAAGCCCGCCGGTGCCCCAGCACCCGTGACTGGCATGAGCTGCATAACCACACTGAAGAGATCTGGCGAGGGGTGACCCCTTCCTGGGGAGGCTGCCATTCTTATGCTCCGGTCTCGAGGCTCACCCACTCTCCAGTTCCAGACACGCCACGGATTAACTCTCATTTCCTTGAAGCTGACAGTGAATGGAAACTGTGGGGTAGGTGCCGAAACGGCCCCCCTCGAGACTGCCACCATCCACCACACACTTAACGTGTGCCAGACTGTAAGGATCAGGATTTGAACCCAGGCCCACTGACTTCCCCTGCTCTAGGCACTGTCCTCTCTTCCTCATGCTGTGCTGACGGCCACAAGCATTAACGAAACACATAAAATTTGCAAAACCCTAGGCTAAGAGCTAAGGGGATAGAAAAGTGAATGTAACAAGCATTTATTGAGTCCCTACTCTGTGCCAAGCCTTCCTACAGGTTATCTCACCGAATACCTTTCTGAAAGGCAAGTGGCACTCTTTTCCCTTTCTTTTTTTTTTTTTTATATTTCATTTATTTATTTGACAGAGAGAGCAAGACAGCACAAGCAGGGGGAGCAGCAGAGGGAGAGGGAGAAGCAGGCTCCCCGCTGAGCAGGGAACCCGATGCAGGGCCCGATCCGAGGACCCCGAGGTCATGACCTGAGCCGAAGGCAGACGCTTAACTGAGTGAGCCACCCAGGAACCCCTGTTTTCCCTTTCTAAGTAAGGAAATGGAGGCCCAGAGAGGCCCAGAAACTTGCCCAAGGCAAGCATGAGGTTGGAATGGCTTGAACCCAGACCTGACTTCCAAGCCTAGGCACTGATGCCCCTCAGCCCCTTGATGAGCGGTCTCTCTGTCCAGTGGGTCCTGCTCTCGCAAACCACTAACATGGCTTTAGAGAAACCAACAGCCGTCCCAGCTTATCCAAAAACATCCAGCATGTGCCCACCTCCACCCTTCTCCCCTCACAGCAACTTCCCCCCACTCACTCACAGAAGACAGAGGGCAGGCCCAACAGCCTTAAGCCAATCTGTTGCTTATCCTCTACGTCAGGAAACAAGGCTCCTTAGGACCTTCACTCCTTCCCTGAGGGGGAAATCAAGGCTCAAACATACGTCAGGTCTTGGCCAGACCCTCTGAGTCAGTGGGGCTGAGACCAGAACCACACTCCCACCTCCGCTTCCCAGTGGTACATGGGGCCAAGTCAATGATTCCAGGATGCTGCTCAGCAGCCCCATCAATTTCTGCAGCCCGTCTGAGCCAGATTATAAGAAGTTCTCCCTTCGTGGGCAATTTTGGAGAAGCTCAGTGTCAGTTTAAAAGCTTTCCAGTGAGGGACAAGACCAAGAAACTGTTTTTACCCCTCTCTGCAAAGGGGCTCGAAGTGGAACCCTCCCCCCTCCCAAAGGTCTTGGGTGGCCCTTTCCCAGGAGGAGATGGTTTCCCTCTCGGACCCACATTTTGCATTCACCCTCTCTCCTCCAGACCATTGTCCAGACCCACAGATTCTGTTGCTTTAAGGATTGGTGACCTCACAGTCAGTTGCCATAGAGACCATTGTGATGTCACAAGCAGAGGACAAGTAGTTCAAGGAGGAGTGGAGGGTAGAAATGCACGGCTAGGATTGAGGGACACCCAGGGTTTCTGTCCTATTTTCATGCCCAGAAAAGGAAGTGTCTGGAGCTGGATTCCGATATCTGAGGGAGACCTGGCCATGTTTCCCTGTGTTCTCCTGAGACTAAGAGACCTCTGAGACCCACCAGAAGGGTCAGTGAAAACAAACATCAGAAACACTCCCCACCCCGGGGTGGTAAGTGGGCTACCTTTGTAGCACAAAGGAATGAGACTGGATGTCAGGAGGAACCATGTAGCTGGAAGATCCCCATGGAGGGGAGATGTTGCCTAGCCTTAGGAAGCTCGAACCATGGGAGACAGCCTCTAGGGCTTTTATTATTTAAGCATCTTGTAGAGATAGACCTGCCGCATCACAGTGAGTTGAGACTCTATCTCCCCTCCCTGGTCTGGGAGCTCCTTGAGGGCACTCTGCCTCTCCATATTCCCCTCAGATCCCAGCACAAAAAGATGTTCCCTTATTCAGTAAACAAATGAGTGAGAAGGTGATGAATGACCTGGGTAGGTAGTTGGGTAGGATGCAGGAACGCACGGACAGACGGATGGATGGACATACAGGCAGGAGAGGAGCCTAGATCATATACAGCCCCACTAAGCTTTGGAGCTCTACACCTACCTACCTCTCTAGCTGCATCCCACCACATCCCTTTTGTCTGTGATCAGGCCACATTAACCATCTCTCAGTCCTGCTGACTCCAGGACTTTGCACATGCTGTTCCCTCTGCACGGAATGCACTTCCTTTCCCTCTTCAACCAAGTTAACACCTATTCCTCCTGCGGCTTTCTACTCAGTCATCACCTCCTCAAGGTCGCCTTCCCTGACAGGGTCAAACCCCCCAGTGTAGGTCTCCACAGCCTTGTGAACCTCTCCCGAGCACCTGATAGGTTACAGTTTGTATTTAGTTAGGTGGCTCTGGGTAAGGTGTCCTATTTAGACTGTGAGCTCTGAGCCAGCGAGGCAATGCTGGTTTTTGTTTTGTTTTGTTTTAAGATTTTATTTATTTATTTGACAGAGAGAGACACGGCGAGAGAGGGAACACAAGCAGGGGGAGTGGGAGAGGGAGAAGCAGGCTCCCCGCGGAGCAGGGAGCCCGATGCGGGGCTCAATCCCAGGATCTTGGGAGCATGACCTGAGCCAAAGGCAGACGCTTAACGACTGAGCCACTCAGGTGCCCCAACAATGCTGTTTTCACTCACCGCTGTACCCCCAGCACTTGGAACAGTGGATACTTAATAAATTTTGTCTATTGAATAAGTTAATAAGTGACCAGTCCTGCCCTCGCCTGTTCCAAGCAGCCTACCCTCCACAGACTGCACCAGGGGACAGAATGTAGACATAGGCGCCCTGCAGGTGAACCCAGGACAGAGGCCAGAGGTTCAGGGAGCCTGAGGTCCCTCCCACACCTGTCCCTGCCAAGGCCCACCGGCACCTATGCCTTTCTGCTCTGCCTTGTTAATACATCTTGGTTTCACCATGAACTGCCTACAAATCACTCAGCCGCCGAGGGCTGCAGGGTCCTCATCTGTACAATAGGGACAATAACAGTACCTACCTCAGAGGATTGTTGTGAGGATGTAGCTAAATCCCTCAGCCCAATGTCTAGTAACAGCAAATAATAAGTAGTGCTAGTATTCTTATTTTTAGAGGTCAGGAACAGCCCATTGGATTCAGGGGCAAACTTCCAAAAAAACCGAGAATATATTAATTTTTGTGAATCTGCTTTAAAGGCATGTGGCAATTGTTTTTAATTTTAATTTATTTATTTTTAAAGATTTTATTACTTTTTTTAAGATTTTATTTATTCAAGATAGAGCAGGAGCCAGGGGACAGAGGCAGAGGGAGAAGCAGGTTCCCCACTGAGCAGGGAGCCAGACACGGGGCTCGATTCCAGCATCCTGGGACCATGACCCGAACTGAAGGCAGACGCTTAACTAAACTGAACCCCCCAGGCGCCCCTAAAGATTTGATTCTTAAGTAATCTCCACACCCAATGTGGGGCTTGAACTTACAGCCCCAAGATCAAGAGTTGCACGCTCCACTGACTGAGCCAGCCAGGCGCCCCTGTGTGGCAATCTTTTCCAAAAAGGCAATACTTAAGACCTTCCCATAAAATATGAGCCAGCTATGAGCCCATTCCTTATGTAATGCCAAAGCTTCATGCCTGGGTGTGGTCAAAGGGGAAAACTCAATTATCCTCCCACGGTCTTCAAAGCAACCCCCCAATCTTGCTTCAGTCATAAAAAGGGTATGGAGCGTGCCCCCAGCTATGGCTTGACCCAGAGTGAATACTGTTTAGGACAGAGGTGTGAGGTCAGTCTGGCTGGGATATTTGTTCACGCTCCAACCCCCATCCTGCCCTAGTTCTCAGAAGTGGGGGGAGTTGGCCCAGGATTCTGTCAGGTCGAGGGGCTCTCCCTGACAAAAGGAGACCACCTTTTGGTCAGTGGCATCTCCTCCTTGCTTGTCCTATGCATAAATACTCCCACATATATTGACCAACATTCCAGGACAGACCACCCAGGCAAGAAGTCAGTTGGGCATCCTAACTGGTTCTACACAGGAAAGAACTAAGACGCATTTGAGGAAGCCTGGGAAGCTTTGCTCTCCCCCATCCCCCCCCCAGCTGACTGTAGCCTCCTGAGGCCCAGCTACCAGGGGCAGCCTCAGGCTACACACACAGCTTTCTCCTCCTTTCTCAGGAGCTCACCCTACCTGGTGACCCACTCCTTCACCACATGGCCATCATCCTGGTACCAGGGCCCCAGCCCCAGAGGCCACACCACTGTGAACCCAATGCCTCTGGACAGATGTATTTTATGTAAGTTCAAGCACTAGAAATATTGAGTTCAGGGAATTTTATTTCTAGAGCCCTCTATATTTCTCTGGGATTATCACCTGTCTTTGTTCCCTCCCTCTCCTGGTGATTATCTTTGGACCCTTTCCAAGCCAAGCCACCTTGATTGCTTGGGGAGAAAGCTGCCAGCATCCTCCATGGTATCTGTGGGTCTGGTGAGAGTGACCTCAAGGGACCCTTTCTTTTTTTTTTTAATATTTTATTTATTTATTCATGAGAGACAGAGGGAGAGAGAGAGAGAAGCAGAGGGAGAAGCAGGCTCCCAAGGAGCAGGGAGCCCGATGTGGGACTCGATCCCAGGACCCTGGGATCACGACCTGAGCCGAAGGCAGACGCTTAACCATCTGAGCCACCCAGGCGCCCAAGGGACCCTTTCTCTTTCCTTCAGTATAACTCTGCAGGTGGCCACACAGCCCAGGCAGCCTTGGCCTTTGGGGACTGGCTTCACCAGGGGACTCTCCAAGTGCCAGGGAACATTGAGGGGGTGTGATGGTGGAAGGAGAGGCCTCATTCTCCCCAAGTTAGGGAGGGCTATGCTCAGGGTGAGCCTCAGGGTACAGAGGGGAGGGAGAAGGCCAGCTGTTCTCTTTTCTACACTGTGCCAACCTAGCCTGACACCAAATTAATAGCATTCAAATGAGATGCAAAACATTATGCAAATCTAGAGGAGAAGGCTGCTCTCCCCGGGCCTTTGGGCTATTGGAAGGCCAACACCTTAAGCCCTTTCCTGGAGGACCCCACAAGCTCCCTTCAACTCCAACCTTCATCCCTTCAGCACCAGCTGGTGTGAAGATTCCAGTGAGACTGGAGTGACCCTCTCAAGGTCCTCTGATTCATGCGCCTCCCCTGGTCTCACCTTCCAAGCACTCAGGGCCTCTTCGATTCTGAAATGGTACAGAGGCAGCTATAGAACTTGGCCTAGCCTCCCTCTGGATGCCAGGATTCTGGATCCCCGCTCATTAGTAGTATATGCAAAATAGATGCAGGGGTTTTTTGCATCTGTTTAATTGTCCATTAAAACGGCCCCACGCCCGTCACCTCCACACAGGCCCGGGCTGCCTGTAAGCATCATGTGGTTCCCCATGCCTGGTAATTGCTGTGGTGTTGGTGGAGCTGTATTTGCATTTGATTGTCATTTAGCTTTCCATCTTTCTCCTTCAGTCAGACTCGGGATTGGGTTGCTGCAATTGATTATTCATTTTATTTTCAGTTCCTTGGTGGGTTTTCAAAGAGTTTGCTTTATTAGCGCCACAAACTTGAACCCTGGGACTTCCGTCACATGGAGGGGGAAGGCTTCCACCCACCCATCCCAGGGCTCCTACGTGAAAATAATCTAGCCAACATTGTGGATTTTAAGTCCTGTTCCCAGTCTCTCTGTCCCAGCACCTGCCTCATTTCTGCCCAGCCAGCAACATTAAACATTTATGGAGCTGTGGCGGATCAAAGGCCTTGGCTGGGGGTGATGGGCAGGCTGGAGGCCCTGGTTTAGAGATGGAAAGCAGCTCACAACAAACCACTTTATGCTGCTTTCTCCATCCATCCTGGGCTCTTGCTACAGCTGGTGTGGTCCTGCTCCCCGAGCGGGAGCAAATGCCCAGGCGCCAGGACTCCCCATTTACCAGGGTGGGGCCCTCCTCCTACCCCTAAACTCAAAGGGTTGACTTTGGGTACTCCAGGAAGTCTGGCTGGAGTGTAGTATCCCAGAATGTCCAAGATGTTGCCAGGTCTTGGAGCCCCCTCCGAGGAGTGGGTGGAGGTGAGCAGGCAACTCCGAGCCCCTGGGAATCTCTGCAGTCAGGTGGCAGTCTCTTGCCCTTGCTTCCCTAAAGCCCCCAAGCTCCCCTGTCTCCACAGAAGATGTAGCTCTGGTTTGAGAGTTATCTTGGAGGAGACTAATTTTCTTCTCCTCTCGCTCAGAAAGCAAGTGTCATCCATTTGAAGGCAGAGACTTCAGAATAAGTGACCAGTGCGCCTCTGATCCTGCAAATTGATGGCTGTTTGGAAGTGGCTTCTCCAGGGCATGCGCTGCTTGTCTGGCACTGTCTGGGCAGAGGCTGCAAGGGTCCTTGGGACCCGAGAGCCCCACTTCCCTCTCTCTGGCCCTCAGCCCTAACGCAGCCATTATAACTCAGACCTCCACCCTCCAACCTTCGGAGGTAGCCGTGAACCCTTCTCAGTTACTACCACTTGCTGTGGTGCTTGAAAACCCACCTTAATAATTCCAGATTCCCTTGTTTGGGTGCAGATATCTTTGTGACAGGATAAATCCTTCAGGATAGCCACCAAGGATGTGCTGCAGCTCAGATGACCACAACGTCTGGCCACTAGCCTACCCCCTCCTTCCTCTTATGTCTCTGCAAGGACCTGTCGCTCCACCAGAGCCAGCCTTCTCACTGACCCCAGACGAGCTCACATTTTCCACCGCTTTGTCTTCGCACACGCCACTCTCTCAACTTTGGATGTCCTCCCTCTTCCTCTCCACTGACTGGAACCTAAAACTTATTTAAGACTTATTTAAGCTTTCAGTGACCCCCCCCCCACTACCACAAGGAGCAATTGTTCCCTTTCTCCATTATCTCCACAGCACTCTTTGGCAGTCTTGGGCTTTAGACCCTCCTCCCTCACCACCCTACTCCCACTACTGCCGCATCATTTATTCAGAAACATTTATGAGGCACCTACTAGGTGCCAGGCACTGAGCTAGGTTGGGGATGAAGGAGACAGATATGTTCTGTGCCTTCGCAGAGTTGACAATGAATGGGGAAGACAGACAATTAAGTAATTACATAGACAAGGGTCATCTGGATGTGAAGAGTCAGGTGGAGGAGAGAATGGAAGAAATGGGACAAGGGAAGGGAGGCTTGCATGTCTCCAGGCTGCCACTTCCAAATGTGTATTTGACTTAAGTACATTATAAGCCGGCTGCATACAGCTGAATACCACCCCCCCAGGGCATCTTATTGTCCTCAATTTGTGGGTGATGCTGAGTTCTGGGCAGAATGGGTCTCTTGGAGGACATAGACAGGACACTTGACAAAAACTCTACTGCTTCCCAGTCTGGGCCAGTCTCCGCCTCAACCTAATTGGGAACCCATTGCACAGAGGCC